TCAACACTTCTACATAATCCTGATTTGTCTTTGCGAAATATTGAAGATTTTTATAGATTTTGGCATTCGCAAAAGGTTCACCGATACAAAATAGTTATTGGCATTGCTGCTTACGGTCGTTCTTGGAAAATGAACAAAAACTCGAATAGCAATGGTGTGCCCCCAGTTTACTTTACCGATGGTCCTGCTGCCGCTGGTCCTCATACATATACTCCCGGTTTTCTATCATATCCTGAGATATGTGAAAAAATACGTGATTCTAAGTTAAAAAAGTAACTGTTCTCAAAGTAAAATCTGTTTACGCTTTTCGTCCAGCCAATAAAAGTAAAGGTAATTTTGGTATTTGGATTAGTTACGAGAACTTTAAGACGGCTGGAGTGAAGGCAGATTTTATTCGACATCATAATTTAGGTGGTATGGGCTTAATCGATTTGAGTTTAGATGATATACATGGTGAGTGAAGAGGTGAAAAATTTACCATTAGATATAGATTGACTAGAACATTATCTTAAAAAACTGTAAAATTAAATAAATTATTGTTTTTAATATAGTTTTCGTATTTACCATGTGTTTAATTGAATAAATCCCATATTTATCTATAAAATATTTAGGGTCTTATTCATAAAGATTTATCAAAAGTTTATAGCTCAAATTTTGTATGAACATTTGATAAAATTTTATGAATAAGACCCATAGTCTTTCTGCTCATTATTTGATTTCAGAGGGTCGCTTTGTATAGATAGTAGGAGATTATGGAATAGACAAAGTTAGTGTAAACTTGGAAATAGTTAAACAATTAAGAAAGGTGATTCAAAAGAACCCGTCAAGATATGATATTGGAAAATTCTTGTAAAATATGGTTCCGTAATACAATAGTTTATAGCATTATAGGAACAAATGATCTCCGCATGGCCCTGGAACAAAATGTTCACTTGGTAGTATATATATATATATATATATATACATACATTATACATACATATATAAATCATTCAGTAAAATTTTTGTCCTGGATCAGACCACAACTGGTCACTTTGCGGTATAAAATTCGACACGGATAAGTTTTAAATATATGTACATAAATCACTATATTTGGCCATATCTCCATATAAGATCCCCTTCCGTATCACTTAAAAGCACATATTTCCTTGATGAAAGAAGCTAACGAGATAAAATTCAGATCAAGCTAAATGAAATTTCATTCAGTGAAATATTTCCAAGATCAGTTCACAATTGGTCATAGTTCACATATACTTTCGAAAAACACTTAAAAGCAAATATTTCATTGTTCCAAAAAACTATCTGGATAAAATTGACATGGATATGTTTTGAGTATATATATGATTCACTATGTGCAATTTTTCTGGATCGGTCCATAATTGGTCATATCTCCCACATAAGGTCCACTTTCGAAAATCACTATAAAGCAGATCAGTCCACAATTGGTTATAAAGACCACCTTCGAAAATCACTTAAAAGCACATACATATTTCATTGATAAAATAAGCTACCGGGATAAAATTCGACTTGAATAATAAATCACCTTTTCCGGATCAGTCCATAATTTGTCATAGCTCCCATATAAGGTCTACTTCCGAAAAACACTTAAAAACATGATGAATAAAGCTATTAGGATAAAATTCGACTTGAATAATAAATAATTTTTTCGGATCGGTCCATTATTGGTCATTGCTCCCAAATAAGGTCTTCAACGTCTTTTCTGTTATATTAATACCGAAATTTTGTAATACTGGTTATAGGCTTTCTCGATTGAATGTTCCTTTTACGAACCATCGGTATATGGTAAATTTATCTTAGCTGTTAATGCCTGGATATGGATGAATATGGGCTCATATGTTCTAAATTCTACATTTTTCGATTCTGTTAACCCTTCATTATTAAAAACAAATTACAAAAGTGATCTTTAAATACTTATTTTCATAAAAATGTATATTTAATGTATCTCAACATCGGAAATGTATCACCATTACAAAGACCATGAAAGTCATCGAGACTCACATCATATAAAGCAATACCACCCAAATGGCGACGTTTAACATAAGCTGCCTTAATGGCCACTATTCTGGGATCATCATAACTAACCCACATGCCGTATTCACCATTCTCATCGGCCGGACGAAAAGCATATGTGACAAAATCCTTATGAGGATCTAAGACATTAAGTAATGGAGCATGAGGACCGCTTTTATTGACATTAAGCATATTTGGCAGCATAGGGCAAATTTCGGGCCAAGTTAAGACACCGGGAAGTTTTGTTATATAACCAGCTGAAGCAGGACCATTAGTAGCTAACACTTTGGGAAAACCATTTGTCTTAGAATCGGTAGTCATTTTCCAAGCACGACCATAAGCAGCAATACCGACATTTATCTTATTATGGGATATACGCTGGGCCAGCCAATAGTTAACCTGATAGTCAACACTGTGCTGAACATTACGAGTACCCTGTAGAGGTACAGAATATAAGGGAGCTGTATAGGTGGCCTCAGAGGGTGTTAACTCGGGTGTGGTAAAATCAAAAGTTTGTAAATTAATGAAATCCAAATGGGGTATTAAAGCTGAAGCATTAAAAAAATCTGTAAAGAAAAAATAAAATTAGGGTTATGTTATAGATAGAATGCAGTAACTTACGAGAAGCATTTACATTTGGCAGCACGGTCAAGCTTAACATTAGATCATGTGGCTTTAAAGCGTTTCTAAGGTTCTGTACCAACATTGAGAATTGAGTTTTATGATCATCTACTTTAGTTTCGGTTTCATTAAATTTCTTTATAAATAATTTCTTTAATGACTTCCAGGGGGCATCAATTATTACTTTACCATAATAATTATTACGCGGAAACTGATATGCCAAATCGAGACCATCAAATTTATAACTGCGCAACAAATACAAAACAGATTCTATAAACGACTTCTGTGTATCAGAACCAGCTTCTAATAGCTCCATATATTTATTATTCAAATCAAGACCAATATCTTTATCTCCACCCAAACTGAGTAGAAATTTAATGTGCGGGTACTTTTCCTTTAAAGCGGTAACTTCCGTAAAGTGACGCCCTTCGATATCACGTTGTGTATTGAGGCTGGTCATTTGCAAAGTTTGTGCATTGATACCGGCATAACCGTAAACGACATGAGTACAAAATTCTAGTGATTTCTCTAAATCCTCTAAAGTAAATTGGGCAAAACCTGATATATAAAAAACTATTTAGTTTTTTTCAATATTTGTTAGTTAAAATTTAAGAAATACCTTGTCTATCCTGACTGACAGCATCGTAGTAACAAATAATATTTTGTTGTACCGCCAGCGTTATATGTCCCAATAGTAGTGTTATATATAATATTAAATAAAATTTCATTTTATATTTCTATACAGAAATGTGTTTCTTGTCTTGGACTTTAAAAATTATACTGATTTGTTTGTTTTTATTTGTTTATAAAATGTGCTCTTAAGTTTGAAATCAAAACTTATCAGTTTCAGTTGTTTGCCTTTAGAACGATTAATTATTTTCTGAGTTGATCATTATCTCATTTGTCGCTAATTATTATAAAGAGAAATTTTTGGTAATGCTGATTAATCTCGCTCAAACAATGCCTTAGTACGTGACTTATAAACGATAATATTCTAGACTTGATTGCTGAACGATAATTTTTACTGTCAAGGTTTACAGTTAAAATTGGGTCGAAGTTGCCTGGGAGATTCGGGAGTGGGAGGTCTAACTATTGGAATAGGTATTAGGCTATATTCGGTCGGTACTTCGACATCTGCTCTTCCTATTGTCACAAAACTGTGACTACTAATACAAAATATGATATACATAATTTGGATATTGTAAAGCGTTATCAAATATATTATCCTGGACCGGATATCGGTCCAGTTCGAAGCTAACAAGCAAAGTTCAGACCACAATCTTTATGTATGGAAGAAATTAACGAGTTCAATCAACAACAAGTAAGAAAGTATAGTCGGGCGTGGCCTACCATATGATACCCTACACCAGTTATGAATATTAAATGTGATTTATTTTTCATAATAAAGCATTTATCTTCAATATTCCCTTGTTCCGATACATTTAAGCAATTTATGTATGAAAAACTAATTTTCTGAAAGAGGCTTTATATGGGGGCTAGGGGCAAATATGGACCAAGCCCGATAAAATTTTGTGAATATATTTATATTTACATAATATTTTATTGTGCTAAATTTCATCTTTGTGTTTATAAGTTAATTTGGGACATTCAAGTACTTTTCTGAAGGGGACTTTGTATGGGAGCTTCTGTAAAACATAGTTGTGCCGCATTTTATCGATATGTCTGTATATTTATCATAATTATGAGCTCAAAAGCCCTTTTCGGGGGGTTCTGTTCTATGGGGGCTAGGTGAATGGACCGATTTTAACCATTTTCAATAGGCATCGTCCTTGGGTCAAATAAAACGTGCGTGCCAAATTTCATCCAATAATCTTGCAAATTGCGACCTGTACCTTGCGCACAAAGTTTACATGGACAGCCAGCCAGACGGACGGACGGACGGACATAGCTTAATCGACTCAGAAAACGATTCTAAGCCGATTGGTATACTTTAAGGTGGGTCTAGGACGAATATTTTTGTATGTTACAAACATCAGCACAAATCCAATATACCCTCCCCACTAAAGTGGTGTAGGGTATAATAAATTAGAAGTTGTTGATTTCGAGAAGGCCTTTAACCGTTTAAATCATCAGAGAATTTGTGATAGATTTATCGTATGCTGAAGATATCGCGTTGATTTCCTCAAGACAGAACTATATGCAAAGTAAAATAAAGACAATCGCTGAAAAGTATCAAATAAGACCAAATCCATGATGCTTAATGCAAGGTTATTTCGGAAGTCAACAACTTTAATTACTTTGGCTGCCAAATAATGACTCACAATGGTGCAAGGATCTCTGACTGAAAAGTTATTACGTTTCTTTCCTTTTCCTGTCAAATTTTCTGAAAAGGACTTGGTACTAGGCTAACTTACACGTTACTAGGACCGACTAGGATCTCTGAATGAAAAGTTATTACGCTTCTTTGCCTCTCCGGTAAAATTTTCTGAAAAGAACTAGGCTAACGATACAGGTTTGTAACATACACGTTACAGGTTTGAGTTGGATTATACATTTTATGTCGATAGATGGACTCTGTGACCATGAAGTTCAGATTCGATGGATAAACTGGAAATGCTCAAAGTAAAATTGTATATTATTTTAAAGTTTATTAATTAAAAATTTATATTTTTTTTTTAACTTTTACAACTTATACTTAATAGCCCTTAAAATAGGAAACTGATCACCAGTACACTGACCACGAAAATCATTCAGAGTTAAATCAAATAAAGCCACACCGCCCAAACCCTTGGACATAACATAAGCTGCTTTAGTAGCTGCTACCTCAGGATCATCATAACTAACCCAAGTACCATGTTCACCATTCTCATCGGCAGCACGGAAGGCATAAGTACCATGTTTTTTAGTGGGATCGGCAAAACGGCGCAGAGAATACTGAGCTTTGGGTTGTAATTTTAAACAAATCTCTGGCCAGCTTAAAAGGCCAGATACTTTAGTTTGCGGGCCGGCCTCAGCAGCACCATCAGTTGAGGGTATGATAGGATAACCTTCCGATTTAGAATCCAAAGTCATTTTCCAGGCACGACCATAAGTAGCAATACCTACATTGATTTTAGTCTTGGGGAATCGTTGGGAAGTCCAATGCTCAACTTGATAATCAACATTGTAGTGAGACAAACGGTTGCCCTCTAAAGTGGGAGCATACAATGGTGCCGTATAGTCTGCCTCATAAGGATTACGTTCGGGAGTGGTGAAATCAAAGGCAGCCAGATTAACGAAGTCTACTTGATTAATTAAGGCGGGAACATTAAAATACCCTGTTGATAAGAGACATTTATTAGAAGTTAAGAAATACAAGTAATTTTCTTTATTTAAACTTACATGATGAATTGACATTTGGCAAAACGGTTAAACTCAATAACAAATCATTTTCAGCAAATGAGGTCTTAAGCTTTTTCACCAATTCAGTTAATTGCTGCTTATGTTCATCGGCCTGTTTATCGACTACAAAGTCACCGGTAAATAGTTTCTTGGTAGATTTCCAAGCCATGCCCAAAGAAGAGTGAACCTTGCGTGCTTTGTTTTGTGGCAATTGGAATGCCAAATCTAAGCCATCAAAGTTTAAACTACGCACCAAATACTTAGCAGAATCAATGAAATTTTGTTGTTTTTCTTGGTCGCCCTCCAACAGTTGTATGTACTTCTCAGAACCCCCCAGATCTTTGTCACCACCAACACTTAATAAAAATTTAACATACGGATACTTTTCCTTTAAATCGGTAACCTTAAGGAAATGTCTGCTCTTAACATCACGGTCATTATTTAGGGAAGCCAAACGGAAAGTTTCTGGATTAAGACCCACATAACCATACACCAAATGAGTGCAAAAATTTAAAGCTGTTTCTAAATCGTTAAGAGAGAATTTGGCTTAACCTAAGAGAAAATCAAATTAAAACTTATTAACTCATAAAAATTAAAATCAATTAGTGGTATTTCCATTTGTTTACCTTCTCTTCCCACACCGTTAGCATCGTAGAAACATACGGTGTATGGCCCCAAAGCATTTGCCAAATGACACAATATTAGTGTCAAACTTAAATTAAAAAATAATTTCATTGCGTCAATTTCCCAAATGTTGTTCTTCTCACTTGGTTTGAATGAAAACTAAATCGTTTTGAATCTCTTTCCGAAAGTTTTGTAGTCAATTAGCAAAATGTCTTATCAGTTTTTTTTTGGCTACAGGTCACACATATGAAATATATGTAGTAATTATCTGATTAATACTTAGCCAGTTAAAAGCTAAATATTTTTAGAAATAAGGCAGAGCTTTTGGAGAGTTAAGTTTTAAAGATATCTCTTTTTTGAACTTATTTTACAAATATTATGTAGATGTAGATATGTGGTTAAAATAGCACGCACGTTCACACTTGGCAAATATTTGACGGAAAAACTAAAATGTAGTACTCGGGACTCAGTTAGTTAGTTTGAAAGGAGGATGTATATTAGAGTGTCCCGAGGAACAGCCTTTTTAAGAATTTCATGTAGGAATACCTCTCAATCGATGCGTATTAATGTACTGAACACCAGAAAAATAAAATATATTTGTTTTCGAATGGTCCTTAGTTCCCTACCAGCTATTGAAAATCCTGACCTCAGTATAATTTGTGAAAAATAAAGTATTTTCGATTATTTTGAAATGGGTCTCAAAAATTTCATAATTTTGAGCTGATTACGAGAAAACAAATTTTAAAATTTTTGTAGAGTATTTTTGACCCATTAAATGATTTTGAGTTGGCTTTCGCTTGTAATTGAAATAGGTGTCAAAATTGCCGTACTTTTTAGAGAATTATTAATTCTCTAATTATTTTTAGATTATTTTGAAATTTATATACCCCTCATAATACACTAATAGTCGTTTTGCAAACTAGGAATAGTGTAACAAAAATTTTAATTATTTTTGCCGCCATAAGCTCAAAATTATGGAATTTTTGAAACCCATTTCGAAAAGATTGCAGAAAATATTTTTTGAGCATATTGTACTGAGATCAAGATTTTCAATCGCTGGTAGGGAACTTTTTTTGTTTTATTTTTCTCGTATTTATTACATTAATACGCATCGTTTGAGAGGTATTCCTTCAAAAAAAGTTGTCCACGGGACATCCTTGACTCCCATAGTGTCTCTTTTTCCCGGAGGGGGTTCGATTCCCACCACCTCCGGCCTAACAGACTAGAACAGTAACAACTAGCCCTCCGAAGGCCACACTAGACTTACATATACTTAATATGATATATACCTTACCAACGTCTTTAATAAGTTTTTACCACATTAGAGTCATTAATGACGCTCCTGCACTACTATGATAAGAAAATGGTACGCTTGCCACGACTCTGAAAGTTAGTTTGTGTTAGTTAGTTAGTTAGTTAGTTAGTTATTAGTTAGTTAGTTAGTTAGTTAGTTAGTTAGTTCGTTTAGTTAGTTAGGTTAGTTAGTTCGTTAGTTAGTTAGTTTTAGGTTAGTAGTTAGTTAGTTAGTTTAGTTTCGAGTAAGTTAGTTAGTTAGTTAGTTAGTTAGTTAGTACGTTAGTTAGTTAGTTAGTTAGTTAGTAGTTAGTTAGTTAGTTAGTAGTTAGTTAGTTAGTTAGTTAGTTAGTTAGTTAGTTAGTTAGTTAGTAAGTTAGTTAGTTAGTTAGTTAGTTAGTTAGTTAGTTAGTTAGTTAGTTAGTTAGTTAGTTAGTTAGTTCGTTAGTTAGTAGTTAGTTAGTAGTTAGTTAGTTAGTTAGTTAGTTAGTTAGTAGTTAGTAGTTAG